ATTATCCTGGAAAATTCAGTGTACCTTAAAACCCTTTTTGTTTGTAAAATAAAGTTCGTTTGTAAAATAAAGTTCGTTTCTAAGGCTTCAGTAATTATGAATAGTTTTTTCACTTATATGAATGTTGAGTAGGGAATTCAAGAGACATTCAGGTATGAGCCATACTTGTAGGACTGTTCTCTGAGTTTGACAAGATGTCTAGCTCCATGACCCCACCCACTACATACCAGTAAGACCCTTTGCTCCCATCATTACAACCAAAAAAAATGCCCTGGGTCAGCAAAATTAGGATTTCAGCATGGAAATTTTGAAAATTGTTTGGTCTGTGTGACACTGTAAGGGTAAATACATGTCCTTATAAATTGCTCAAACCCAGCTCTGGCTGAGTGGCTCGGTTGGTTGGAGTATTGTCCAGTACACCAAAAGGTTGCGGGTCCAATTCCTGGTCAGGACACATACCTAGGTTGCAGATTTGATCCTTGGTCGGGGGCACGTACAGAAGGCAGCTGATCCATGTTTCTCTAACATCAGTCTTTCTCTCTCTTCCTCCCCTTTCCCCCCTTCTCTCTAAAAATACCTTTGGGTGAGTGTTTTTTAAAAATTGGTTAAAACCCATAGAATTACAATGTAAAGAGTGACTCAATGGAAAATATACACATTAATTGGTAATGATGTGTCTGTATTGATTCATTGACTCTAACAAATATACTACACTGATACGGAATGTTGATGTTTGGGAAGGCTGTGTGGGGTGAAGGAGAGAGTGTTTAAGTGAGAACTCTTTACTTTCTGCTCAGTTTTACTGTACCGAAGCGTGCTCGTGTATTTATTTAAAACACACACACACACACAAACACACACACACACACACACACACACACACCTTTATTGTTGTCACTTGAATAACCAATAAGATCTGTGGAACAGAAGACACAAATAAGCCAAATACATAAAGACCATTTAGCAATTAAAGTCTTTTTTCACATATTTACACATTTAAGAACTATTATAAGTGCCTCTTTATAGGCACTTCACTTGGAGCTGAGATACATGGGATAAAATTGATGTGGTCCCTGCCTTCTGGGAGTTCTATTATTTTCTTACCTCTAGTCTGTCTGGAAGAAAGGATTATAATATTGCTTGTAAATTGCAGAAACCTGAAAACTTTCCTTTGAATCATATTGTATGTCAGCAGCACAGGGCTTGAATAAATGGGTAATATAATAAAGAATTTTAAACACCCTTTGCTGTTTGTTATTTTATTCTCTCTGACAGAGTTTTGAAGAGAAACTTGCTCCAGAAGAACGCTTTTCCCCCTTGGACCTTTTTAACAAAATCCAAGAACAAAATGAAGAACTTGGACTGATTATTGATTTAACGTATACTCAGCGCTATTATAAACCAGAGGTAAATTGAAAAGAACCTTCTTTTCTGATACTATAATAGTTCATAGTAATTAGTAGTTATCACCTTATGCCAAGGTGAATCCATGCCTTCTTTCATGGGTAGTAATTGAAAAAGGGAACCAACTGGTTTCCTTAATTAAACATTTCTAATTGCGGTCTCAAAATGAGATGAAAGACATGAATTAAACTAATATTTGGCAGTAGGTTTTGTCTGTGATTAAGAAGTTCTATAAGCGCCCATGTTCTCTATTTTGAAAAGGAAGTAAACTTTTCGAAGAACAGTAGAAGCCTAAAAGAAAAGAAAGGAACGTTCATTATGTCTTTAACCTTTATTTTAAGCAGTTGCCTGAGCATGTGTAAGCATCACAGTAAAAGACAAGTTGTTCTCAAGGTTGTGTACTTTCCTTCCTACAATCTTTTGATGTAATACAGAAACTCAGATATTCTGTTGGTCCATTTGGCATATCAGTGAGAAAGACTTATGCTCCTTTTGACCAGTTCATGGCCTTGGGAAGCAATAACACCTAATGTTTGTCAATGCTTGTGTAGCATTAGCCATTGGAAAAGTACTTTCACATACCTTAACCCATAGTTAATCCGCACAACAGTCCTCAGCTAATGAGGTAGTAGTAGTACTGATATTTCCTATTGAGAACTTACTCTTCACTAAGCTCAGAAGATAAGTGATTATAATTACGAATTTTACAGATATTGAAACAGGCTCGGGGGAAAAAGAAAAACGAACTCAAATTATTCCTTTTTCTTACTAATGCGTAAATAATATTTATTTTAACCATTCACAAGTGTACAAATTCAGTAGCATTAAGTACATTCACAATGTGTATAAACCATCACCACTGTCAATAACCAAAACTTTCATCCTCCTCAACAAAAGCACTTGTTACTAGAGAATCATACTTCCAGGTCACTCGTGGGAGCGAGGTTCTTGTGATAGCTTCAGAAAATGAATTTTCTAAGTTCTGCATGGGAGGATGGGATGTGGAAGAAGGCATTTGCATGAGGTTACATTTCTTGGGTTCCAAAGTCTCTGCCCCCTTAAGCCAGCCCTGGAAAGGGTGCAGCTGGGTTCCAGCAGAGCCAGAAACAAGAGCAGTGTCTAGAGTTTTCGTTCCATGTTGCAGCCAGGTGTGGCTCAGCATTCAAGTTAATTCAAGTCCATTAGTCCATGTGTGTGGAGCAGGAGCCCCCTGCAGCAGGAGTCCCAAGAGGACCTGCATGTGAGAGAGAGAGCACACACTTCCTTTGGAAGTTTAAATATTTAGGTATTTTGTGCTTGCAAGTGGCCACACAAACACTCCATCCATGCTTTTGTTCCGGCCCTCCGGTCCAGTTTAAGAACCCATTGTGGCCCTCGAGTCAGAAAGTTTGCCCACCCCTGGTCTAGAGTTTTCATTCCATGTTGCAGCCAGATGTGGCTCAGCATTCAAGTTAATTCAAGTCCATTAGTCCATGTGTGTGGAGCAGGAGCCCCCTGCAGCAGGAGTCCCAAGAGGACCTGCATGTGAGAGAGAGAGCACACACTTCCTTTGGAAGTTTAAATATTTAGGTATTTTGTGCTTGCAAGTGGCCACACCCATCTTGGCCATTAATTTGTTCCCAGGTATGACTGGCAGACAGGTAGGCACCTTCCCACGTCATTCAGACCGTACTAAGCTTGCATCTAAACTGCTCTGTCCAGTCCCTCCCCCCATCGATCAGCAGGGAGCAGACTTGGAGAATGTTAAATGTAGCTTTATGGCAAAGCTGTGCAAATGGCATGCCTATATCTAGTCTTCCCTTTCCTCCTTTCTGATAAATAATAACCAGGCTTTTACAATGGCATCACACTGAACCATTAAACAATAACTACCTCATTTCCCCTCTCCTCAGTCCTTAGTAACCTCTTCTATTTTCTGTCTCTCTGAATTCGCCTATTCTAGGTATTTCATTTAAGTGTTCATACATTTGTCTTTCTGTGTCTGGATTACTTCACTAAACAATGTTTTCAAGGTTCATCCATGGTATAACATGTAACGAAATGGCATTCCTTTTTGATGGTGGAATTATCCATGTGTGTATATACCATATTTTGTTTATCTGTTCTTCTGTGATGGACCCTTGGATTGTTTCCACCTTTGGCTATTGTGAATCATGCTTCTATGAACATGGGTGTACAAGTATTTGTTCAAATCCCTGCTGCCAATTCTTCTAGATGGATAGATAGGAGTGGAATTAGTAGTCTGTTTATCCTTTGACAGTCTGCCAGACTGTTTTCCACAGTGTCTTCTTGTTTTTAAATAATTATCATAAGTTTAAAACATATATAGTAGTAGACATAATACTGTGGGTGTTTGTTGTCCACTGATAAACTCATCCAGCTTTCATATTTGTCAGCGGATACTGTGTTTCATCTGTACTTCTACCTGTTTCTCTCCATTCCACATTATTTTGAAGTAGATCCCAGATATCATAGTGTTTTACCTTGTACATTTTTGGTATGTATATTTAAAATATAAGAATTTATTCCTTGATATCATTCTTTAATATTAAATATCCAATCTGCATACAGATTTGCAGTTATCTTCTCAATCTCATTAAAAAATTGTTTTTAAGAATTTGCGTTGGATCCAAATAAGGTCCACACTTTACATTTGATTTTTAGGTCTCTGCAATCTTATTTAATCTCTAGGTTCTCCCTCCATGTCTCTCACTTTCCTTTATTTCCCCCCTTGAATTTTATTTTTTGGAGAAACTCGTAGTTTGTCTCACAGGATTTTAATGATTCTGTCCCTAGGTATTGTTAAAATATTCTCCAGTGCTTTTATTTTAAACTAGAGGCCTGGTGCACAAAATTCACGCACTCGGGAGGGTCCCTCAGCCCAGCCTGCACCATCTCGCAGTCCGGGAGCCCTCGGAGGATGTCCAACTGATGGCTTAGGCCCACTCCCTGTGCGGTTGGACATGCTTAGCACTGCCACGGAGGCAGGAGAGGTTCCCGCCACTGCCATTGCACTCACCAGCCATAAGCCCGGCTTCTGGCTGAGCGGGACTCTCCCTGTGGGAGCACACTGACCACCAGGGGGCAGCCCCTGGTGTTGAGCATCTGCCCCCTGGTGGTCAGTGCATGTCATAGCAATCGGTCATTCTGCCGTTCGGTTCATTTGCATATTAGCCTTTTATTATGTAGTTGGACCTAGAGACTTAATCAGATTCAGGCTTGGTTTTTTGTTTTTGCTTTTATTCTTTGTAAGAGAATTTCATAGGTGATGATGTGTTCTTCTGTAGAGCCATATAAGTGATGGCCTCTTTCTGTAATAGTAGCAGTCACTGATGATTGATACCTACATCCAGTAATTCATTTGGGGCTGCAAAAATGGTGACTTCTCTTGTTCTTTTTTCACTTATTAGCTGGGTATGTTTCTGTCAAAAGCAGCTTTCCCTCATCAGCAATTTGGTTGCCCAATTGTAGAGCCACGATTCTTTCCTTCTTTAACAGTTTTTAAAATAATGAGTTGATTCACTAATATCCTCCAGTGGTGACCAGTTAGATTTATTTTATTTGTTTGTTTGTTTTGTTTCATTAGGAACTTCATTGCAATTATTCATATTGAGGTACAAATCGAGGTCCTGTCTTTGGCAGTTGGAGCTTCTCAGTGTGGCCCCTGACATGTCATGATACCATGGCATCAGTTGTTCCTTTACTTTTCAGTTGGTCACAGTTAGGATATGTGTTTGAATGGTTTTGTTATTGGTTTTTTTTAATGTTTTTATTGATTTTGGAGAGAGAGAGAGAGAGAAATATAGATTGGCTGCCTCCTACACCCCCCCATACTGGGCATTGAGCCCAAAGCCCAGACAAATGCCCTGCCCAGGAATGGAACCTGAGACCCCTTGGTGCACAGGACGGTGCTCAACCAACTGAGCCACACTGGCCAGGGATGTATGGTATTTCTTTTAAAAAATAGTTTTTATTAATTTTAGAGAAGAGGGAGGGAGGGAGAGAAAAATATTGATGTGAGAGAGAAACATCTTGGATTGGCTCCCTCGTGCATGTCTCCTACCAGAGATCAAGGCCGCAACCCCAGCATGACCTGACCAGGAATTGAAACGGTGACCTTTATGTAAAATACATCACAGGCTCATACTGATGTTTTTCTTTTAAGTTCAGAAGTACAGAATTTTCATTTAACTTTCTCTGGGTTTTAATCAGTATCACTTTCTCCTACCCAGTTCTCAACAGTGTCTGAAATTACCTCAATCTAACAATTTAATTTCAAGTATTCTGATTCTTTTATACTTAAATCACAGTTGCTTTATGATCCTTGAAATGTAAAATATTAGGTAGAATTATTTATATAACTTTTAGTTACATATGCATTCATTCACATGAATTTTGCTTTCAGTGTTGTATACCTATTGACTAATGAAAATCTAGTGATACTTCTTGGTTGAAGCAGCTTTGGAAAAAATGGTTCTTTTATCAGAATTACTGACATATTGTTTATTATAATCTCTTTATTTATATTTTGGTTCTTCTAATTACTTTTTAATTCTTTCCCTGCAAATAAAATAATATACATTTTAATGGTTTTGCCTTATAGGACTTACCAGAAACTATTCCTCACTTAAAAATTTATACGATTGGTCATCAGGTGCCTGATGATGACACTGTTTTAAAATTCAAATGTGCTGTTAATGGGTTTTTGAAAGAAAATAAAGATAATGGTGAGTTGTGTTTTGTTTTGTTTTGTTTTTTCCTTACCTAACTTTGGTATTCATTTTTAATTAGGTTGGGAATTTTAAATATTTTTAACAGTTCCTATATTAGGCCTATTGTATTTGATAATGTGGACCTACCAGGTGGTGGTAATAGGATAAGATGTTTGTTCTTTTAATTTTTTTTTGTAAGAATAATGGAATTCTTTGTTTTTTCTTTTCTTTATTGTTTTTTAGAAGAAAAGAAGGGAAAGAGATAGAAACATTGATGAGAGAGAAACATCATTGACGAGCTGCCTCCTGCATGCCCCCTACTGGGGATTGAGCCTAAGTCCCGGGCATGTGCCCTGACTAGAAATCAAATGATAGTGACCTCTTGGTTCCTGGGTCAGTGTTTAACCACTGAGCCACACCAGCTGGGCAAGATGTTTGTTCTTTCATGGTTAAAAATAAACAATTTAGTTTGAAAAGTGGTTTTAGTGAGAAATGAACTGAACCAGCTTATCTTTATTTTTTCAGATATTTGAATGGGAAATATATAATAAAATTAAAATGTTCTTTTGTGTTATTTATTAAGAGGTGAGTGGTGGGTGGAAGAAAATATTAGAATCTCACCATCTTAGAGTGGGTAAAAGAGAAAATAAAAGGTAAAGGTTTAGAGTGAGACAGACCCTAAGAAGCAAAATAAAATGGAATGGACTAGTGCAGTGGTCGGCAAACTGCGGCTCGCAAGCCACATGCAGCTCTTTGGCCCCTTGAGTGTGGCTCTTCCACAAAATACTGACTTCTGCACATGGGCCACGAAGTTTCAATCCCACTGTACGTGCGCGCCCGCACGTGGTATTTTGTGGAAGAGCCACACTCAAGGGGCCAAAGAGCCGCATGTGGCTCGTGGGCCACAGGTTGCCGACCACTGGACTAGTGGAATTGCATCCTTATCATTTGTATTTAAAATATTTCTGCTGTTTTTCCAATTTGGGCACAAGTAAGGAAGGTCATGGTCACCTCGTATTATTAGTTTTCAGATGGAAAGAACTTAAAAAGGCTGGTTTTCTTGTTCCTGCTTTAAGATCTACTTTCCTGTGTTTGAAAGCAGATCTCAGTAGCTTTTGAATTTTAAAGAATCAGTTTACTTCTAATGGCATGTAGCTATCAGAAGGAACATGGTGTCTGCCACATTTTAAGACCGAGGAATCTTTTTTCCTTTGGAAAGCCACACATCCACAGGACAAAGTTTTCACTTTGTCCTCTTTCTAAATTCAGCATAGGGAGTGTACACTTTATGAAGTAAATCTGACGTATTTTAAATATATATTTATATATATAAACAGGGATTAGGGGAGAAAGAATAGAGATAAATATGGGACGGTAGGGGGTAAGAGGAAAGAGATAGATGGGATCAGTGGGTTTTAAGATAAATTTTCGCTTAATGTAGGCCAGGGGTCCTCAAACTTTTTATTTTTATTTTTTTAATTTTTATTTTTTTTTAAACATATTTTATTGATTTTTTACAGAGAGGAAGGGAGAGGGATAGAGAGTTAGAAACATCGATGAGATAGAAACATCGATCAGCTGCCTCCTGCACACTCCCCACCGGGTATGTGCCCGCAACCAAGGCACATGCCCCTGGCCGGAATCGAACCTGGAACCCTTGAGGCCGCAGGCTGACGCTCTATCCGCTGAGCCAAAGCGGTTAGGGCCTCAAACTTTTTAAACAGGGGGCCAGTTCACTGTCCCTCAGACCGTTGGAGGGCCGGACTATAGTTTAAAAAAAAAAACTATGAACAAATTCCTATGCACACTGCACATATCTTATTTTGAAGTAAAAAAAACAAAACGGGAACAAATACAATATTTGTATTTGCATGTGGCCCGCGGGCCGTAGTTTGAGGACCCCTGATGTAGGCACTAGTTCTTAAACATCTTAAGCCCTGTCACAGATCTCTGTGCTTTAAATCTTGAGAAGCTGGGCTTTGCCTGTGATAACCACAGCATCTACAGAGGGGGCAAATGATCTTATTTGTATAAACTGCAGTCTCAGAAACATTACCTCTTAAATGTTAGGGTGGCGCCGCTGGCCTGCTCACTGCTTCCAGGCTTGTGTGTGTGGAACTGGTATGCAGTGTTCCATCTGTTCCCGTGAGGGCTAGAAGGTCCATATGAGTGCGTGAGACCGTGTTTGTAAGTCTTGGTGTACATGTTACATCACGTGTAATGTGCTGCATAGACTGACCCCATGTTGGTCTGCTTGCATTGTGCTGACTTCACTGTGTCTTGCAGTGCTCCCTGCCTAGCGGTCTCAGGACCTGGCATACAATCCATTCTTCTACCCCTGCTCTAAGCCCCTCCCACAGATACCAGACTCACTGATGGAGAGGTGCACCCTATACAGTCCACTCCCTAGACCTGGTAGACTCAGAAAACCAGTTGATTCAGTAAACACTTGAGAGCCTATTGGGTTTATTGTTAGGGTATTGGTACTTAGAGGTGAATTGCAGTTTTTGTTTTTCGCCAACTCTCCTTTTCTATAATTAAATCAGTTAAGACAAAAGAATTTTGTCTCAGTGGAGTTTTACTATAAGTACCTAACCAGGCCTTCCACAGTCTATGCTACTACATCTAATTGGGGGCTGTGAAAAATTTCCTAGGACAATGAATTTTGACTTTATAGTAGATCATTCTTTATAGTATGTTCCTAAAAAAACCACGTTTCTCTTCAGAGACATTTATTTTCAGGTGGTGGTAGTGCTGTGTAACTAGTAAATGTTACTCTTCACAAAATTGTATAATTTGTTTCTAGGACATTTCATTTATTTAACGCTACATTTCCTGTTTTATAGATAGACTTATTGGTGTCCACTGTACCCATGGTTTAAACAGGACTGGCTACCTCATCTGCAGGTGAGTTGCCAACCCCAAGCGGCAGATCATGTCTAAGTTGTTTTATTTAAATAATATAAATTATTTGCAAAAATGCAATCAGTATAGAAATGTATGATGTAGAAAGCAATCTTGTCCCCCACCCAGAGATTACCACCAGTAATAATTTAGTACATATTTTTTCAGACTTTAAAAATGCAGATCTAAGCATATACATGTAATTTAATGGTATCATATTTAGACATTCTGTTTTATAATTTAATATATGGTGGACATATTCCTGTGAAAGTATTTGGAGACCTCAGTTTTTTAAAGGCTGCATTGTTCCTTTGCTTACTGATGAACATAAGAACAGAAGATTTTCATATTATAAAATATTAAAATAATGAACATTCTTCTATGAGCATCTTTGAATATATATGTTGTCTCATAATTTCACTCAGAATGGAATTTCTGAATCAAAAAGTTTGTTATGCTATTTTGTCGATGTTGCTACAGTGTATTGATTTGTGTTTGTTCATTCAGAAAATATTTATTGAGCATCTGTTATATGTAAGCATTGTGCTGGGTGCTAGCAAAAAGATTTGTGAGACTTTATGAGCAGAGAGACTTGACCTGCCCTTTGTGGATCCTAACAGTCTAGAGGGGGAATATCTATTCAAGAATCACACATATGCATATAGAATTACAACTTTGACAAGTGCCAAGAAGGAGAGGGGCATGGATATTAAGAGAGCATATTAATAGGAGAATTTGACCCATCATGGAGGTTAAAGAAGGTTTTATTAGGAGGTTTGATCTGATATATGAAGGAATAGTAGGTATTATCTTAATAAGATAGGGACACTGGGGAGAGAATTCTAGGCATGAGGAAAAGTAAAGACCTGTAACAGGAAATCATATGCTGTGTTGGAGGAACTGGCCAGGGAAGCTGGGCCATGGAGGAAGTATGGCATTAAAATAGACTAGAAGAATAGGTAGGATGTAGGTTGTGCAGGCCTATGTTTAAGAGTTTAGACTTTATCTTAAAAGAAATAGAAAATCGTTGAACTCTCTTCTTTGAGGGTGAGTTAGTGTAGAACATAATCAATTTGCCTTTTCAGCCTATTTTGATACTGAGTGGAGAATACACTACGGGGGCACAAGCATGGAAGCAAGTAGACACGTTAGGAGGCTTTTGTAGAAATTGAGGCCTAATGGTGGCTTCACCCAGGGTGTGGTGGTCCTTTTGGTGGACAGATGTGAACATATTCTAGAGAAATGCAGGTAATAGATTGTTAGGATTGGTGGTGGATTGAAAATGAAGACAGGGAAGAAATGGCTGGCAGTGATGGCGACTTCTAAGTTTCTGGCCCATACAGTTGATTAAATAATATTTTTTAGATAATACTTTTTAGATATGATGTTAATTTTTCCCCCCAATTTGTCTTTTGCTGTTTGTTAATTGGCTCATTCCTGCATCCTTGGAATAAAGCCTTTTTGTGACCATAGTATATCATTCTTTAATAATTATTGGATTAGATGTGCTGATATTTTCTTAGGATTTTTATATCTATTTTTGTAAGTGAAATTGGACCTTTTCTGGAAAAACTTGATTTTTAAATTTTTATATATAAATGACTCAAATTATGTTGTTTTGTTAGATATTTGATTGATGTAGAAGGCATGAGGCCAGATGATGCAATTGAATGTAAGTATGAAGGTTATCATTGTTTTCCTCTTTTAATAAAAGTTGGAGGTGGGAATGTAGATGAGTTTCTCAAATTGTGGAAAAAGAAAAGTTAGTAATTCATTTGTTTTGACATAAGATAATCTTTTGCCAAAAGTTTATGCAGGGATGTATTTGGAAGTAATGAGGTATAACAGCCTGAATAATTAGTCACTGGATTTCAGCTCTGATTTGCTTTTTGTACAATTAATTTCTAACAGTTCTTCCACTTCCCAGTATTCAATAGATGCCGGGGGCATTGCATAGAAAGACAAAACTACATTGAAGACCTTCAGAATGGTTCCATCAGAAGGTGAGTTGCATTTTACATGTGAGTTTAGGGAGATTTGTTTTTATGTCATTAAATTGCACATACCCATTCTTCTTGTAGCTTGTTTACTTGATCAGGGAAACCCAAATAAATAGGGATTGGGGGAGGATGGGATGGTTACTTTCATGGGCCGAAATATCCTATATAATAAAAGCCTAATATGCAAATTGTCCCCCTCGGGCGGTCGCCCGCTCGCTATGATGTGTGCTGACCACCAGGGGGTGGCATGGAACATGGCAGGTGTCGGCAACACAGTGCTGACAGTGGGCGGCAGTGGAGACACTGCTGGCCCCAATGGGCTCCTACGAGAGCAGGACTGTGGAGGGATGATGGAGCAGGTGAGCGGGCAGCACCAGGCCAGGGTGGATGTGAGCAGGGGCCCAATCGCCCCTCTGATCACCCTGCAGACAGTGACCAGCAGCAGCAGCGGGGAGGACGGGGCCGTCACCCGGCTCTCAGGCGCTGAGGGAGCTGGGCAGGGGGCCTGGCAGGACTATGAAGCTGGTGGCACAAGCTGAGGCTGCAAGGCTGGGGGCACGAGCTCCAGCCCAATCTCCACAGGCCACCCCAAGGGACCCCACCCATGCACGAATTTGTGCACCAGGCCTCTAGTAGACACTATATTGGCTACTAAATTTGAAAGGTAGTAATATTGTATGTAAAAAAACATTCTCTTTAAGGGATCGGAATTCCCGTGTATCCAGATCAAGTGGTTTTGAATACTCACCATATATGATGGAACCAGCCCACACCACTAATAACGCTGTTCACCAAGGACCTAGGAATAACGTACATTGGACCCAAGGTTACCCAACACCTCGCCATTTCCACACCCAGACCCAAGATTTACAGCAGTCAGTAAGGTATATTTGCTTTCCCTTTTTCTAGAATTGAAATAGAAATGAATATTATTGCCCTAGCCAGTTTGGTTCAGTGGATAGAGAATCAACCTGTGGACTAAAGGGTCCCAGGTTCGATTCCGGTCAAGAGCACATGCCCAGGTTTCCGGCTCGATCCCCAGCGGAGAGCATGCAGGAGGCAGCCAATCAGTGATTCTTTCTCATCATTGATGTTTCTCTCTGTCTCTCCCTCTTCCTTCCTCTCTCAAATTAATAAAAATATATTTTTTAAAAAAAGAAGTGAATAGTATTATAAATTAGTGCAAACATATCTATATATATATATACTAATAAAAGGCAAAGATGCTAATTGACCATACCTTTGCTACGCTCTAAGCCACGCCCACCAGCCAATCAGCAACTATATGCAAATTAGCCCAACCAAGATGGCAGCTGGCAGCCATGGAGCTGGAGCAAGCAGGAGGCTTGGTTGCCGGGCGATGGAGGAAGCCAAGCTTCCCGCCTGCCAAGAGCTGGCTGTGGCCTTCGCTCATGGCAACAAAGTTTCAATTATAGAAGACAAATAAATCCCAGATACCTGCTTCCAGCCAGCCTCCACTGGGAGCTTGGGTGGCTGGGGGTTGTGGCCAGCCTGCAAACAGCCCTCAGCCCCTCACCCAGGCTGGCCACACCCTCATTGGGTGAGGGTCCCTGCTGGGGGGCTTGGCTAGCTTGCAAACAGCCATCAGCCCCTCACCCAGGCTGGCCAGGCACCACAGCAGGGACCCCCACCCTGAAGGGGGTGTGGCCAGACTGAAAACAGCCCTCAGCCCCTCACCCAGGCTGGCCATGCCCCCCCAGAGGGGACCCTCACCCCATGGGGGCATGGCCGGACTGCAAACCACCACAGGCTCCTCGCCCAGGCTGCCCCACGCCCCAAGGGAACCTCCACCCTGATCCAGGACACCCTTCAGTGCAAGCCAGCCAGCCCCCACCAGTGCACCAGGCCTCTATCTATATTAATAAAAGGGTAATATGCTAATTAGACTGGGAGACCTTCCAGGAGACCTTCCGGACATTCTTCTGGACAAAGCCATGGTGGCGGGGCCGAGGTAGGGGCGGTTAGAGGCCAAGAGGGGAGGAGCGGTTAGGGGCCAGCAGTCCCGGTTTGCGAGAGGGATGTCTGACTGCTGGTTTAGGCCCAATCCCTGTAAACCAGCAGTAGGACATCCTTCGAGGAGTCCTGGATTGGAGAGGGTGCAGGCCGGGCTGAGGAACACTCCTCCCCCGTGCACGAATTTCGTGCACCGGGCCACTAGTATATATATAAAAGCCTAAGCAACCGTTTGACCGTTCAACCAGTAGCTATGACACGCACTGACCTTCAGGGGGTAGGCGCTCAATGCATAGGCATGGAACAGACTGATGAATCTCAGAGGGGAGGGCGGAGGGTGGGAAGAGATTAACCAAAGATCTTATATGCATAGTAGAGGCCCTCTTGCAATCTGGGACCCCTCATGGGATATTGGACTGCTGGTTTCGGCCCGAACAAATACAATATTTGTATTTGCATGTGGCCCGCGGGTCGTAGTTTGAGGACCCCTGATATAGATTTTAAGAATACCTACCTCAGAGGGATTGTTGTTGACCATTGCATGCACTGAAATGTACTTTTAGCACATTATAAATACTTTCAAGAAGATGTTAGTGTTTTTGGAGCGTCCCGGTTTGCGAGAGGGATGTCTGACTGCTGGTTTAGGCCCAATCCCTGTAAACCAGCAGTAGGACATCCTTCGAGGAGTCCTGGATTGGAGAGGGTGCAGGCCGGGCTGAGGAACCCTCCTCCCCCGTGCACGAATTTCGTGCACCGGGCCACTAGTATATATATAAAAGCCTAAGCAACCGTTTGACCGTTCAACCAGTAGCTATGACACGCACTGACCTTCAGGGGGTAGGCGCTCAATGCATAGGCATGGAACAGACTGATGAATCTCAGAGGGGAGGGCGGAGGGTGGGAAGAGATTAACCAAAGATCTTATATGCCTAGTAGAGGCCCTCTTGCAATCTGGGACCCCTCAGGGGATGTTGGAGTGCTGGTTTCGGCCCGAACAAATACAATATTTGTATTTGCATGTGGCCCGCGGGTCGTAGTTTGAGGACCCCTGATATAGATTTTAAGAATACCTACCTCAGAGGGATTGTTGTTGACCATTGCATGCACTGAAATGTACTTTTAGCACATTATAAATACTTTCAAGAAGATGTTAGTGTTTTTGGAGCGTCATTGGATGCACCAAAAGGTCGTCAGTTCAATTTCCAGTCAGGAGCATGTGCCCAGGTTGTGGGATCGATCCCCAGTCTGGATGTGTACAGGAGGCAACCGATCATTGTTTCTCCCTCCCCCTCCCCCTCCCTCTCTAAAAATCAACTTTAAAAACACAACACATTTAAAATGTTGCTTGTGTTGCCAATGGCACTGAAAATTGGTACGGTCCTTTTGAACCATAACTTGATAGCTGTAAAAAATGCTCATCCCGGGTAATTCCCCATTGAGACTAAGGAAATACTTCAAAATATGGAAGAAGTTACATTTATTTAATCATTCAGCACATTTCTCAAACCTCCCTACTACATATCAGCTACATCTAGGTACTCAGGATACAGTAGTATATGTTTTGAGATGTTAAACCCAGAGTTATTTAATGATGAAAAAGTAGGTAACATCTTACATTTCTAACAGTGAAGAATAGCTGGGTAAATTATGTCCATACTGTGACATTTTATAAAGCCATGAGGAGTGTTAGCTCACTTATGCTAAGTAAAGATAATAGGTTATGATTTAACAGTAAAAAAAAAAAATTCTAGGGGAAAAAGATCAAAAAGGAAATATTAATCTAACTAGGTTAGGTAGGATTGAGAGTTAGGGGGCAGAGAGCATTATTTTTCTTTTCTCAGATTTCAAATTTCTTTTGTATGATTATATTCGATTTACTGATCTTTTGAGACAATTAGATTTAAATCTTAATTTTCTAAATTTGTTGCATGTACCATAGTTAGTTTCTATGCTTTATAATTAATTTATATATCTATTTCTTTATAAAGTGAAAGCAGCTTTATGTTTTCAGAAGTAAATAGCTTGTTCTGTCTCGTGCCAACCTGCCATTCTTGGAAAGAAAGTATCTGATTAGGACAGTCGGGCACTTACCTCTGTAGTAAAAGGTGGAAAGGCTCCTGGGACTCTGTTGTGCGCAGAGACCTTATGGTAGGTAATTTAACTGCATTGCTTTTAATGTACCTTCTAAATAACTCAAAGATGGATTTCTTAACTAAAAATCCAAAGATTAAGCGGTTCATTTGCTAAGGTCACACATGTAGAAAACAGTAGATCAATGCATTATTTTACAAAGCTCATTATATAGTTTATTAAAACTAATAATAGTTTATTATGTTTTGTTTAAGAAAATTTCCACAGAATCAGAATGTTTACCAGAGAGGCCATAACCCTCCTCCGCCTGGTCCCCCCGGAGAGGACTATTCACAAGGAAGGTATTCTTGGAATGTACAGCCAAATGCCAGTCAAGTAGTCCAGAATCAAAGTTGGTATCCTGGCAGTTACTATGGACTACCCTACCCAGCCTATTATGGATGGACCCAATGACACAAACCTGTCCTGGAAATCTGTCGGGAGACAGCAGGACTGAAGACAGTTGGAGTGACTTTTTATACAATCAGGTCAAATGAGGTTTATAATCTATTTTTTTCTACCTTAAGTTCAAACCTAAGGCAAAATTATATTAATATTTAACTCTTTGCCGTTAAATTTGCAGTATTTGAAATACTGAAGGAAATAATCTGTTGTTCCAGTCTTAATATTTTCAAAAGTAACGTATTTTAGAACTGATAAAGTAATAAAGAACATCCATTGTACATAATTTTTAAAGATTCTATCTTTTCTATATTTTCTAAAATTGACTAAATTTGTGTTATGAATGTGTGTATACAAAAATTTCTAGTCATTTTCTATTATTGACCAATCATTAACGGTATTTTTGTTTTTGTCCTTACCCCTAACTGTTCAAGATTTCTATTACCATCTACCTACGGAGACAATCTCTTTGAAACCTAATCACTATTGGTAATTAGTGGTGGTATTTTTGTGATTAGGCATTTCCTTCTTGGGTAATCTCTTGTGGGATTTGACCAACTTCCTTTCACTGAATTGTCAGGTATGCCATCTAACACAGGAGTGGATAAACATTTAGGGATTGATTGTCAGTTGGACAAGAGACTGATAAACCAGAATGCTGGGTAATTTACCAACATTTGTAATTGTTACCAACTGGGTAGAACTACTCAGGAAACTTGAAAGCTTTTGTAGACTATAAAGGTTGCTCAGTGAACAGAAGAGTAAACAACACAAAGCCTGGGATATCTGGGAAGACTTGCATGGCTCCTTGCATTTTTGCTTCTCTGTTGAATGTAACTTGCTGGGATCTCTCTGCACTTGCCGCTCACAGTGCAGTAGTGCCTCGACCTTGATGCTTTCTAAGTGTTCTCTTATGCTGCTCTGCCTCTAGACCACACAGATGGATCGCGTGGGAGATGTTCATTATTTTTGGTTGCAGAGGAAACCAAAACCCTTTGTTTGCTTAAGAAGATGTCTCAGCATCATGACAACAAATGCCTCGGTAGATAGTTGATGAAACTTGAGCCACTTGGCTTCCTTTTCTTAAAGCCTCTTGCTTTGAAAATGTGTATCAGAATGTCTTATACTGCATGTGAGAGTTATTTTATCTGCTCTCTTTTATATGTGAACAACATATTGAACCTGACATTAATGAAATTAGCTCAGCCAAGTTGCTATGCTTCATCTAAGTGACGGCTCCAATGTTTTTCTTTGCCTGCCACATTTAACAGGTGCAAGAGTTGTGGCTGCTAAAAGGCTGGTCCTGGGGGATTGTTCCCCAGGATACATCACGAAGGCCCACTTGGAAAGCAATTGGAGCAAGAAAGCTGGTGAGGCAAAAAAGAACAAGTCAGGGCAGGTGTGGGGATCCAGCTGGTCTCACAGTTCTAAGGAGTTCTTTGGCAAGCAGTTTCTCGGGGACATTGCCAGCAGAAGTGCCATCATATAAACACTGCCACCTTCAAAATGCTTTCTTTACCCTGTTGTTCCCTCTGTCCTCTTCCCCTTTTATTTCAGTTGTTGGCATGGCTTGTTAAAATCTAGACTACATTTGTTATCTTGTGTCTCACTTATTCTTCAACACACTGTATGCCTGGCTTCTGCTTGCACCCACCATTGAACATTTTCTGGCTCAAGGAATCAGCAACTCCCTTTTTAAAAGGTCTTCAGTGTTCTATTTAAACTTAAAATTTATTTTTATTAAAAACACATATGAGTAGTTTAAAATTCAAATAGTTCTACCAAGTTTACCATGAAGAATAGTCACCACCCCTGCTTTACCCAATAACTCCCGAAAGGGAGTCACTACATAATTTTTACATTATCTTCCAGTATTTGCTTCCTTATCTATACATGTATCAAAGGCTAATATGCTAAGTGTCCCTCCGCCCATCCGACCAGTCGCTATGACGCTCACCACCAGGGGGCAGATGCTGTACACAGGAGCTGCCATGACACGCACTGGCCATTTACAGAGAAACGGCAGCGTGGACCTGGCGCTGACAAAGCAACACTCAGCTTCTCCCAAGTGGTACACAGGACCCGCCATCACCCCGGAGCGACAGCCCACCAAATTGCAGCTGATGCTGCCAAGATTCCATGGAGCAAAATGCGGCCCACAGCCCAGCCCAGCCTGGAAACGGTGGCTGTGGGCACTGGGTAATGACGTCCTGTAGCAGCTCCCGGCTTCCTCTCCCGAGCGACAGGCCATCTATATATATATAAAAGGCTAATATGCTAAGTATCTGTAAGTATCTGTCTGGGTAGTGACGTCAGGTAGCAACGCTCGACTTCCTCTCCCTAATGACAACTCGCCTCCTTGCAGTTTCTTCAGCCCAGGAACACAACTTGCTTTATAGCCAGGTGGAAACATTTCACACTAACCAAATGTCTGTGAAACATTTTCCCCGTGCTTCATCTCATTTGATCCTCACAGAAGTCCTGGAGTAGGTAGATAGGAGAACCGGTGGAATCCTGTTTTATTTTCATTAGTCAGAAAATGGAGATTTAGAAAGCTTAGAAACTTGAACAACTGAAAAGAAGTAAGAAATGGTGGACCTTGAAAATGACCAGGTTTTCTCACTTCGCAGAATATAGTCAAACACTGCTGCAGTTAAATATTTTACCCTTTGTTCTCCCTGTGTGATCTACAATAATTGCTTTGTGTTGCTATTTACTGCTGTGTTGCTGACAATTACCTGAAAAAGAAGTTGGGGTGCTTCACTGAGCTGGAAAAAGTTTAGCTAAATCAGAAAGCAGGTCTACCATAATTAAGTTTATATTCTATATAAAAGGCTAAGTTGACTTGCCCATGTGCAATACATATAAAGCTCTCGCTGGCGCCAATTGCACGCATGTGTTTCGATCTGTCATTGTCAATCATGATTTGGTTGACACTTCTATAGAGAAAGGGCGAATAGCGATATTAAAATATTCTAATTAATTTCCTTTCAATGTGCATGAATTCATGCACCGGGTCACTAGTTTAAATATATGCTTATGTCACCACTTCTTGATTTTTCAATTTCTGATATTATCTGTTGACTTCTTACAGTGGGAAGATAAGGATTTAGCTTTTTCACATCATCTACCCATACACAGAATCTACTTTTAACTCCTGGTCGAGGCCTTCAGTAATCAGACTCCCAGCTGGTTCTTTTTTTAATTTTTATTCAAAATATCTTTAATTTTAAAACACCCAGCATTCGGTACCAACTTAGAATCCAGATTTGTTTAAATCTCCCTGCCGGCTGCCCTCAGAGTGCTCATAATCAGGGACAGGGCCACTTTGAGAGTGGCATGGAGATGGGAAGCCAAGGGGAAGTAGGGGCTGCCAAAGACCCGGACACAGGTCCCATTTTGGGGGAGCCACTTGGGGTGCCTGAAGGGCTGGCAAGAACCTAGTGCTGTCTTGGTCGCTGGTTGGCCCACTGGCCTCCCCTCAGCATCCTGTCCCTCCTGAGGCACCATTACACAGATGCCAGGTGGGGCTGTGTCCAGGTGATGCCACGTGGGTCCTCAGCCCAAGAAAGGCAAATAGGCTGCTTGCCTTGGGGTCCAGAGGAACAGGGGTAGGTTTCCATGCTTGAGCACATTCCCACAGGATAGGCTGCCAGCACGCTAACTGCCCAGGTAGAGTGGTCACAGTCCATTTGTCTCGCCCAGGGGCTGTCGAGTGGTAGGGTAGCTACTGTGCCAGCCAGTAGGTGATGTACCTCCCGTGATTTCCCTGGGCCCGATGATCTTGACCACCTGTGTCAGGGTGAGACCAGGGCTAGGTGGGGAATCCCCAGGCACCCAGGTGTGTGTGGGGGTAGTGGAGGGGCAGGGGGACAGCAAGACAGGTGGCCCCAGGATCCTGACCTTGGGTGAGAGGAGACCTGGGGGCACCCCTGACTCCAGCTGGTTTTTCTTTTCTTTTTTGTTTATACTGAATATGTTGGGGTGATACTGGTTAACAAAATCATGGTTAACAAAACCTGTTAAGAAAACAGGTTTCAAAGATTTGAAATGCGAAGAAGCAAAAAACACCCAACCGGAAAAGCAAAATGAAAAAAGAATCCGAAAATACGAAGACAGTGTAAGGAGCCTCTGGGACAGCTTCAAGCGTACCAACATCAGAATAATAGGGGTGCCAGAAGATGAGAGACAGCAAGATATTGAAAACCTATTTGAAGAAATAATGGCAGAAAACTTCCCCCACCTGGTGAAAGAAATGGACTTACAGGTCCAAGAAGAGCAGAGAACCCCAAACAAAAGGAATCCAAAGAGGACCACACCAAGACACATCATAATTAAAATGCCAAGAGCAAAAGACAAAGAGAGAATCTTAAAAGCAGCAAGAGAAAGAAACTCAGTTACCTACAAGGGAATACCCATACGACTGTCAGCTGATTTCTCAACAGAAACTTGGCAGGCCAGAAGGGAATGGCAAGAAATATTCAAAGTGCTGAATACCAAGAACCTACAACCAAGATTACTTTATCCAGCAAAGCTATCATTCAGAATTGAAGGTCAGATAAAGAGCTTCACAGATAAGGAAAAGCTAAAGGAGTTCATCACCACCAAACCAGTATTATATGAAATGCTGAAAGGTATCCTTTAAGAAGAGGAAGAAGAAGAAAAAGGTAAAGATACAAATTATGAACAACAAACATGCATCTATCAACAAGTGAATCTAAGAACCAAGTGAATAAATAATCTGATGTACAGAATGAACTGGTGATTATAATGAATCAGGGACATAGAAAGGGAATGGACTGACTATTCTTGGGGGGGAAAGGGGAATGGGAGATGCGGGAAGAAACTGGACAAAAATCGTGCACCTATGGATGAGGACAGTGGGTGGGGAGTGAGGGCGGAGGGTGGGGTGGGAACTGGGAGGAGGGGCAATAAAGATTTAAAAAAAAAGAATAAAATCTGTTCCTCACTTCCAACAACAACAAAAAAAAAACAGGTTTCAGATACACAATTTCATATCCAGCTGATTTTTCAAAGCCTCCGCTATATAACACTCCACTCTTCAGTGAGCAGCCATTTCCTGAACACTGTGATGTACATATTTATGCCACTCTGTCTTTCAGATGGTTTGCATAGCTGTGAGGGCTCTCTTGTGGTCTCTGAGCAAAACATTCTCGCTTTTGAAGCCCCATCCCCTTAGTAAAGCCTTCTCTCCCAGCTGTACTTCCCTACCGATTTCTTTCTTTTTGTACAAAGTACCTTACATCACTGTTTGGCATTTATTTCATTTATATCTCCTGTCACATGAAACACAAGTTCTAAGCGCCATCTCAGATTCCTTCAACCCTCTCCCTCTCCCCTGAAGCCATCATCCGCCACTTGGACCACAGTCTTTATTTATTTTTATTTTTTTTGCATTGCCAGCTAACCTTTTTCGCTCCCTGAGCCGACGAGAGCCCGGGTTAAACTGGACCTGCATGGCCCTTATGACCCCCACATGAAGCCCTCTGTCTTCTCAGTCACCCCTCCACTTTAGAGATAGAGGAAATGTCACACTACAGGCCACAGGGCCTGGCTTCTGAGCTGCTACTGAAGGATGAGATGATGATCAGAAGTGTGGAGGCATCAGTTCCCACAGTGGGGAGCCTTGATTAATGGAACAAAATACAGGAGGAGCCTGGCAGGCTGATTCCCCCTCTTCATCCCCCTTCAGTGGACTACTCTCGGGCACGGTTTTTCCTTTCAAGCCATCCAGAGAAAGGCAAGTCTGCTGAGCGCGCACACGTGCCAAACCACCGGGTGTCTCGGCTCTGGCTCCTTGTGAAGTCTCCAGGGAGGTAATCCCTGGTGCCATCTTGCTTTGCCTCTTTCCTCGCTTCCCTTTCCTGTTTTCCTCACCCTCACCTTGCTTTGGGCTCTGCTTTCTAGAGTGTTTGTCCATCAACTTGGCAGAGTCATAGTTTTGAGTGTTCAACCATGCATATGAGAACGGAAACCACCAGAGCGCTTCCCTGATTTGACATTGAGATCCTACATATATTTATACCTTCAAGGCATATCGAAATGTCACTTACATCTGAGGTAACAGTTTTTCAAGAAGTACACATTGTTTTCACAACAGGGCAATAGTTTTCCGAGTCTGGGTGTCTTCCATGACCCATTTGTTCAGGTAACACTTCCATGGTTAGATTCACTTCAACAGATGGTGACAGTTATGTGTATGTGTGCAAGTCAATGCATTGCAGAGAAGGTTGATATTCTTAGGGAAGTTCTCAGTTAACCCTCCATCAGATCAGTTTTTGAATTAATTTTGTGATGCATAATGATCTCTATTCCTCTGCAGCTGTAGATAAAAGGATCATCTTCACCTCTGAGATGACTTTTTGAAAAACAGTAAAATTCATGTTTTTTTAGTGTACAATCCTGTGAGTTTTGACAAATGCATTCAGTTTTGTAGTGACAATTAAAAACAGTTTTATTACGCCCACAGCCCGAAAATTCCCTCATGTCACTTTGTAGCCAATTGCTCCCACTGAGGCAGACCCTGGCAACAACTGATCTGTTTTCTGTCCATGCAGTTTTGGCTCTTCTAGAATGTCAAGTGAGTGGAATCAGACAATATATGTAGCCTGTTGAATGTGACTCCTTTCATTTACCATAATGCTTTTGAGATTTATTCATGTTGCCAAGTGGATCACTAGTTCATTCCCTTTAATGCTGCTAGTATTCTATTATATGGATACTAGATGCCCGATGCATGAAATTCTTGCAAGGGGCTTGGCCTCGCAGCCCCGGCTTAGTCCGAAAGGTCATCCAGAAGGTCGTTTGGCTGTCCGGTCTAATTAGCATATTATGCTTTTATTATTATAGATACCCCAATTTGTTTATCCATCTACCAGTTGAAGGATTGGATTGTTTCCAGTTTTTTATTTTGAACAAAGATGCTATAAACATTTTTGTACAGATTTTTATGAACATATATGTTTATTTTCCTTGGAGTGGGATTGCTGCTGTGGGATAAGTGTGTGTCTAATTCTATAAGAAACTGCCAAACTTTTCCAAATGGCTGTACATCTCCATCAACAACATATGAGTTCCAGTTAACTCTCACCAGTACAGTACTGTCAGTTTTTTTCTTTTATTCTAGCTAATCTAATACAGATGTTGTGTGGTCTCATATTTTTAAAACAACTTAGAAATATAATTGGTATACAATATGCTGTACATTTTTAAAAAATATTTTATTGATTTTTTACAGAGAGGAAGGGAGAGGGATAGAGAGTCAGAAACATCCATGAGCGAGAAACATCAATCGGCTGCCTCCTGCACGCCCCCTACTCGGGATGTGCCCGCAGCCAAGGTACTACATGCCCTCTGGAATCAAACCTGGGACCATTGAGTCCGCAGGCCGTCGCTCTATCCACTGAGCCAAACCGGTTAGGGCATGTACATTTTTTAAGTAAGCAGTTTGATATATTTGACACGTATACATCCATGAAAGCATTACCACAATTAAGGTAGAACATATCTATTACTCCAAAGTTTCCTTGTGCCCCTTTGTAATTCCTTATTTCCACCCTAGGCCCCTTAACCAAGCAACCGCTGACCTGCTATTGAGGCACAATGTATAGTCTATCAAATTTACTCTTTTAAAGTGCATAATTTGATGATTTTTAAAAATATTTTTACTGATTTCAGAGGAAGGGAAAGAGGGAGAGATAGAAACATCAATGATAAGAATCATTGATGGGTTGCCTCCTGCACGCCCCCCACTGGGTGGCCCACAACACGGGCATGTGATCTGACCAGTAAAATAGGAATCGAACTGTGACCTCCTGGTTCAAAGGTCCATGCTCAACCACGGAGCCACGCTGGCTGGGCTAATTTGATGATTTTTGACAAATTCATACTCCCTGATAGCTAACACTACATCAAGATATGGAACACTGGTTCACTGCAGAGGTCAACCTTGGGGTCCTTTCCAGCCCATGTCCCACTTCCCCATCCCTAGCAACCACTGGTTTTCTTTAGTCACTCTAGAATAAATTTGTATTTTCTAGAGTTTTGTAGAAATGGGACCATACAGTAACATAATTTTAGATTTTTGTGCTTTTTTTTTTCTGAGCATGTTTTTAGATTTATCTATGTTGCAAGTATTGCAAATACCAGTAGTTCATTCTTTTCTATTACTGAGTAGCATTTCATTGTATGAATTTACTCTAAGTTGTTTACCCATTGATGTGTTGTTGGGCACTGGGTTAATTTTTGGCTGTCATGAGTATATTTGTTATAAACAGTTATATGTAAACCTTTGTGTGGACACATTTTCACTTCTGGATAAATTTCAGGAATGAAATTTCTGGGTACAGTAAATATATTTTATAAATAATTTTTATTATTAAATATATATTTTAAAGAAACTGCCAAATTCTTTTCTAAAGTAGTTACATTCAGACCAGCAATATGAGGGTTCTATATTCTGCATGTTGTACATCACTTGATATTATCAGTCCTTTAAACTTTAGTCATCATATAGGTGTATAGTAGTATCTCACTGTGTTTTTAATTTGCATTTCCCTGGTGGCTAATGATGTTGAGCATCTTTTCATGTGTTTATTGATCTTTCATATATCTTTTGTGAAGTGTCTGTTTAAATGTCACCCATTCTTAGGTTGTTTTGCTTAGTTGTAAGAGTTCTTTATACCAGACTTGTCAGAATTATTTTTTCCAATCAACTACATTCCCACAGTTCCACAGTTCTCTTTGCTACTAGTCTTCCTTAAATAGGCTAAGGCCTTATGTGCCTTAGAGCCTTTGAATTCTCTTTGTTGCCTGGACTGCTGCTCTCTCAGATACACAACTTGCTTCCAGACTTCCTCCAGTCACTGTTCAAATGGCCCTTTTTGTGAGACATTTCTTAAACATCCTATTTAAAAGAGGCACACCCCACCCCACCCCACCCACCCTAGCTGGTTTGGCTCAGTGGATAGAGCATCGGCCTGGGGCTGAAGGGTCCTGGGTTCCATTCCATCCAAGGGCACATGCCAAGGTTGCAGGCTTGATCCCCAGTAGGGAGCGTGCAGGTGGCAGCTGATCAATGATTCTCTCTTATTATTGATGTTTCTATACTCATTCCCTCTCCCTTCCTCTCTGAAATGAATAAAAATATATTTTTAAAAAACCTATTTTCTCTGCATAGCACATATGCATAGGACAGCTATATTTGTTGTTTGCGTGTCTTCCTGTGTAAAGAATAGTACTGAATAAGATGAGCCCCGACCCAAAAAAACGTAAAATACAGCCTGTTGCCCTAGCCCAGTGGTCGGCAAACTCATTAGTCAACAGAGCCAAATATCAACAGTACAACGATTGAACTTTCTTTTGAGAGCCAAATTTTTTAAACTTAAACTATATAGGTAGGTACATTGTTATTAACTTAATTAGGGTACTCCTAAGCTGGCCTTTGCTAAAAACGTCCTCAATCTGATTGAGGTACATTCCCTGAGGTCGACCCCTTCCAACTCTCCCATCCACACTGTCTTGTATACTTGTTTCGTCTATCTCCTCTCGTTCATCCTCTCTATATGTCCAAACCATCTCAACATACCTTTCTCAATCCTCGACACTACATCTTCTTTCACTCCACAACGTTCCCTAAAATTAACTTAATAAACTTTACTTAAAGTTTTAAATCAACTTCACACTGTATGTGCGCGCCCACACGTGGTATTTTGTGGAAGAGCCACACTCAAGGGGCCAAAGAGCCGCATGTGGCTCCTGAGCCGCGGTTTGCGGACCACTGCCCTAGCCGGTTTGGCTCAGTGATAGAGCCTTGGCCTTGATTCCAGCCAAGAGCACCTGCACTGATCTCGGTTGCAGGCTCCTCCCGCCTGTGCCCTGGTCAGGGCACCTGCAGAAGGCAACCCAACACACGGATATTTCTGTCCCTCTCCCACTCGCTCTAAAAATCAATGGAAAAAATATCCTCAGGTGAGAATTAAAAAAAAAAAAAAAGATAAGGAAATCACTACCCCTGCTTCAATTTTTAAAAAAAACAACAAAATAAAATACAGCCTGTGTAGGGGATTGCCTCCTCTCTTGGAGGCTGATACATGCAGGGATGATTTCAATAATTTGTCACGATCTCTTCTTATCGCAGGTCTCTAGGAGATCCTCCCTAAGTGACCGCGCCCAGAGCAAGAAGGAAACTGAGTCCCGCTTGCCCCCGGGAAGAACTGCTGAAGCTTGACCGGCGGAGGCGTGTGGAGTTCATCCTGGCCAGTGCTTTGCACAAGAAGAAAGTGATGACATCTCGTCCAAGACCCAACAAGGGTTAGGGACGAGGCTGAGACTCGCACCCAGGCCTCAGCTGCCCACCCGCGGATCCTTGCAGCGCCCCCACCCCTCGCCGGAAGTGACGGACGGAACCCGGCTGTCTGCGTCGGGGGGACCCCCTCGCGGAGAAAGATCTGCGGAAGGGCGGGTGGGACCGGAGGCCGGAACCTTCCTTCCGCGGGGATCCGGAAAGAAGCTGACCGGAGGAGGGCGGGGAGAAGACGCCGCTTTGTTTCCGAGGGGACGATCTTCCGAGACGGACGCGGGAGGCGGCGGTGAGTCCCCGCGGGAGGGGG